AAAAAAAAAAGACCATGGCCGTACGCACCAGGGGGGGGGGGGCAGTTGACCCCAGATATTTTGAAAACGTACAGTTTTTTTCCTGAAAATGTAGTGTAGGCCTATACCAAATCCTTCAATTCTACTTTTGAAAATGCAAAAGTACCCTCATGACCAGTTCGGTCGCTCGAACTCCCTTCACTCCTTTTGCTTTTGAGATTCTTCGAAAACTTTTAACGCATCTTTCCCCCTCCCCCACCAGAAAAACATTCCGCAAACGGCCCTGAAAAATTAAAACAAATGAAAATAGGAAAATATAAGTGATATAACAAATTTGAAACTCTTCGCTGGCGCGAACTGCTTGCTAGCCTATTTTGTATTAAATGTTTTCACTTGCTCGTCCCCCTGAAAAAAGAAAAGGATTAGTATTGCCTAGAATACAATTGTGCCTGCCCCGACGGGCCCTGACCTGCAACCACGGCAACAATAACACACAATATATGTACCAAATGTTCCTAAAAGAGACTAATTCATTTTTCTCGCTCGCTTTGCTTTGGACACAATTGTGCCCACCCTTGACCTGCAACAATATCATTACAAATGGAAGAGTTTTTTTACCCTCTCGCCTAAAAGGAATTGAATCGCGGTAAACGCGATTGCGTACATCCTGACCTGCACCAATAAAAACAAGTTTATTTATTAATTTCTATTAAAAGAGAATTTTTTTTTTTGCTTGCTCGCTATGCTCGCTCGCCAAGATTGAATTGACACCGCTAGCATGCCCGCCCCAACCTGCAACAACCAGTTAATAATTATGTACCAAACGTTATTCAAAGAAGTTTTGGTGTGCTCGTGCTCGCCAAAACAGAATTAACATCACCTTAGACATGATTGTGTAAGCCCTGCCCTGCAACAAAAAAATCTGAAATTTATGAACCAATTATCATTACAAAAATTTTGCTCGCTCGCTACGCTCGCTCGCCAAAATAGAAATAACACCGCTTTTAATAATCACGTCCCTGACATAGAACAATGAACCCAAGTTTATATACCATATTTTCCCTATAAAAGAAAAGTGATTTTTTTTGCTCGCTCGCTACGCTCGCTCGCCAAAATAGAATAACACCGCTTTTAATAATCACGTCCCTGACATGGAACAATAAACCCAAGTTTTATGTACCATATTTTCCCTATAAAAGAAAAGTGATTTTTTTTTCGCTCGCTAGGAATTATGTGCCCACCACTAACCTGCTACAATATCATTAAAAGAGAAATGTAGGGGGTTGCCTGCCCGCCAAAATGGGATTGACATTGCCTTAAACACGATTGTGCCCGCCCCCTACCTGCAATAATAAAACAAATTTTATATAGCAATTCATTGAGAGAAAGATGTATTTTTGCTCGCTAGCTAAAATGGGTATAAAAGCACCCTAAACACAATATTGTTCCCGCGCCCTGCATGGGACAATTGAACCAAGTTTAAGTGGCAATTATTAAAAAGGAAGTGATTTTTTTCTTGCTCGCTACACTCGTTTGCAAAAAAATGAAATTAACGTCACTAACAAGTGAATGTTCCCACCCCCAACTTGCAACAATACCAGTTTATATACCAAACGTTACTTAAAGATTTTTTTTTGCTCGCTTGCTCGCCAGAAGTGAAAATTAGCATCGCCTTTTTTGTTTGTTTCGGTCGCTTGCCCCCCCCCCCCCCCTGACGGAGTACCCCAGGTACGCCACTGATAATAATGCACTATACTGTGAAATATGTCTTTGATAGGTGCATGAGGTATAACGCCTGATCATAACTGTGTGTTTTGCACCGATGCATAGTTCTTTTTTAATAAGCCAACGGTACAGTTGCAGTTATATACACGTTACCTAGCGCAGGTTACTGTAGGTCATCAATGAAATTGGCTAATATTTGTTGCTATATAGGACAAACCCTGGCAAGCTATTGGTTCGTTATCAGCGTATATCGTTGGAGAGGTATGTATTAACAAATTCATTCAAATGTTGATAAAAGTTCCGAGTATGACTATATTACGTCATCTGTAAAAAGCAGATGATATTTCATGCACTAATGATTTTGCTTTCCTATTATTAAATCATGAAACAAAAATAATATATCAAACAGACAAAGTAGATAAATGGATGTAAAATGCCTAGGTCTATTGATTTAGTTAGTTAATTAGTAAAGTATTAATGACTGCTTTGAGAGACATAAATTTGTTTTTATACGCTCGAGGGAAGGTTAAAATCGAGCTATTGCCCGAGGCTTTCCGAGGGCAATAGCTCGATTGTAACCTTCCCGAGAGCGTATATAAAAACAACTATGTCTCGAAAATTGAAGCAGTCATTAATACTTTTATATACTGAAAAGGGTAATTTGCGACTTACTAATCACGATAATCAAGTTTGTTTACGCTATCGAGACAGCAGACTAACTGACTAAGTAGTGTAAGGCACAAGGTACATACAAATACGTGTGTGGGACTATGAACGGGTTGGATTTTTTGTGTTACTGAAATGTGCTCAGAATTCGAGTAATTCATCTATTAAATGACTAAAACAGACAAGAAACAAGTCAAAGGTAAGGACAAGAATCGGTGCCTATCAATATAACAGAAATTTTGCATGAATAACTTCAGGAAAGCTATCTAAATTTGTCAGAAATTATCGACAAACACACAAAATTCAGCGCTGCAAATTACGCACAAAACGGCGTAGAATTCAACTTTTCATCCATCAAATAAATTCAAAGACTTGCATTATACAATCTTCAATACCTGTATCACCGTCATCGCAAGCAATAAAATCACAATCTATATCTAACCTAGATCTACGGTTAATAATAAGACCAATGCATTCGCGTAGGGCCTACCCTTTCGGTGTTCTTGCTGTCTAGCGACCAATGTTTTGCACACGAACACGTATGGTATCCGCGATCGCTCAAACCAGTTTTTAAGCAAGACTGAACTATTCCTGGTAATTTTATCCTCGAACTATTACATGGGCGTTGCATTTTTCGTTTATTTACGGGAATGGCTAAAACCATGACTGGAATGTCGACCAATCAGATGGCTGGATTTCTTAAGTGAGGTATATAATTTAGTTTAGTCATTACTATTAGTACTATTTTTATTCAGCAGTGTTGATTCATTCGACCAATACTTAGCCAAAGGTGTTTTGTCCGAGGCCAAGTTCCAAGAACATTCTCAACATTCTCAAACAGAGACCAATCTATTAAAAAATCTACCTCATTGTTACACTAAGGAAATAAGTGCTACAATGAACTTTCACAAAGGTTAAATTCGAATGAAAATAATGGACACGCAGAGCAGACCACGACCAACAAAACGATTGCTGATTCTTGTGGGACTCTTTGCCGTCGGATATTTTGACATCGGAACGTTAAAATCGATGGGCGTGTTCCTTGAGGAAATGACGGAAGATTTGCAAACATCTCTCGCTGTCATCGGAGTAGCTATTGGACTATGTCACGGAGTAGCACAATGCTTTGGTGAGATGCTTTGTGTTACGATGGCCATTCAATCATAACCAGTATTAATGTTTCACTATTCCCTAAAGGTTTCTAAGTACATGTAAAGAAAATGAGGGCGCGTGACGCTCTATGTGTTATAGCATTGGATTAAATCATATCATGTATTAGTAATTTTCACTGTGAAGCATTCCAATTAATAAATCTTGCATAGATGAATCAGTCACGCTATTTATATTCTAATCCCTTAAAAGGATAAAGCAATAACATTTGAGACTAGCTTTTTTTTAAATAATATATTTACTATGAATGAAAAAAAAAATTCTGATTGACATTTGCCTCTTAATTTTTAATTTCACAGCGGTTATAAATGTTCCTCTATTAAAGCGGTTTTCAGCAGGAAAACTCGTCCTTGCAGGCAGTAGCATTGCCGCTACAGGACTCAGCCTCATATATTTTGCAACATCTGGAATGCACTTTCTACTACTAATGCTTGTAACAGGTAGGCTTTCTACGAATCTCTTATTGCATTGATGCAAAACAATAATAGACCCAAAGTATACCCCTGAGGTACTACCATCAAAGCTTAATTGATCACGGAGTTCTTGAGCCTTGAAGAATTACTCTCCCAAAAGCGTGAACGCTGTCCTGGAGAGGGCTGTGCTGTGTTGCGTGCTGTTGGTGATGTGCTGTTGGTGAAGTGATGGTGGTTGTTCTCCGTGCACTATATACAATGTGCAGGGTGCAGTGTGCAGGTGGTGCAGGTGTGTCCCTCGTTACAACATCTTCAGGGGCAGGGGCGCGGCGCCATAGTCTGTATGGCGGGTAGTGCCGCTCCCCTAAAGCCAAGAATTGTATTTGCAGTGATAGCGTTGCTTGGGAGAGTGTTCCAGACACGGACTGCTCTGGAACACGGACTGCTCGGTTACATAATCTTGTTTACAAATTTGATGTAGTCTTTTAAAAAAGAACAAAGTGATTAAACAGACGTCATTCTATGGAATATATACTTGCCATTGTTTCATCGCGTAATGACCAATTGATCAATTTCTTAAGTGTGTCGTACCTGGAGGCCATTCAGATTTAGACCAGCATTATTTTACAATCACCATTGGTCTGTGGAATTAGACAATTTGCCAAGCGTACTCTTCACTCTAAGCGGGCTGCTTTTATTTGAGTATCAGCTGCTTTACACATGATAATGAAGGAGTTGTGTACAAAATTATCCACAGTGCCTGTTAAAGTTCACTTAGTTCTGAGGCCCACGTGGTCATCAATTTGGTCTTAATCATAATTAAACTGATTGAAATGATCCGGGTGTCTATATAACGTAAATTGTGTGGAGTACGTGCGGGGAAAAAACAGATCTAAATGATGTTTTTTAAATGTTACTTTCCCTTTTTCACCAGGGTTTGGTTATAGCTTAGTCATTTTGCCTTCTGAAGCCAGCGTCGTTGACTTCTTTCCAGATCACTTCGAAATCGCTACAACCATTGTCCTCCTCGGCAGCAGTGTAGGTATGATGACGCTCCCATTGCTTACAGAACAGCTCGTCATGGCTTACTCCTGGAGAGGAGCGATCCTTATTCTAGGTGCCTTGAACTTTCATTCGTGTGCGACGGGGTTACTAATGACGTCAAGTAGTCAACACAGGCGTATATTAGGAGAACCTACATTTTTAGCCGGCAGAGCTCAGATCGGGGAAGACCATGAAGAAACTGTGTCCCTGATAAACGAGCAGACGACTGTTGACCTACATAACATAGATGATGATCGCAATGACGATGGAGTCTTTTGCTCCAGCGCCAACATCGTCAGAGCTGCTAAAAAGATATTCCTGGATATTTTTGATGTCAAAGTATTCTGTGAGTGCCCCCGCTTTATCACAATCTGCATGGCTTTCTTTACTTCCGCCGTCTCCTACTATGGGTGGATCGTCTTCTTGATTCCCAATGCCGAAGCCAAGGGTATCAGCCCCGACAAAGCCGTCCTACTTACAACCATTGGCGGTGCTGCGAACATCTTTGGAAGGCTCACAATAGGTTTCCTGGCTGTAAGGCTCAATCTGAAACCTCAGGTCACCTACTGTTTTATCTGCATCGCAACAGCAGGGGCGTTCTTCTGTAATTTCTTCACTAAGAGATATTCGATTCTTAGCTGTTTAGCAGCAATGAATGGCTTCGCATTGGGTGGGAAAGTCTTGAGTAGCAACCTTCTGTGTAAGGACAGTGTCTCGGACGAAAGGTACCCAGCTGCGCTGTCTTTCATATCACTCGCCTTTGGTATAGGGGAGGTACTTGGGGCATCCTTGATTGGTATGTACATAATTATAAATGGATGCAAAGTATCTGTTTTATATCTTTTCGGGGTTTTCTTCTTTGTATATTTTTGTTGTCTATTTTGGGGAATAAATTCGCCATGGGGTCCAGTAACTAACATCAGAGTACTGAATAATAGAGTATAAGGACGCCCTTTTTCTCCTTTTGCTGACAGGTGATGCTATCGGTTTTCCCCTTTATACATTTTGAATTTTGGAATGTACCAAATTATCCAAACGTGAGACAAGTTTTCTTTCTATATATAAAACACAGTAAATATATAAAGTGTTACTTATCGTGGATCTAACAAGCACGTACTTATACCAAATCAATAGGCTGACATCACGAGTTTTTGTTATATTTTTTTCACTTTTTTTTCCATCATTAAATCTTTTCTCTAAACAGGTCTTCTGTACGATAACACCAAGTCATTTGATATTATTTTCTCTGTGCTTGGAGCAGCTAATATTTTGGAGTCCTGCATCATCATTTCTCCCATCATCAAGGATTGGATGGTCGCCATGGTTACCACCCGTTAATGAAGAGCAGGAGGTTCAATTTCTGGTGCTGGCTATCGTCACTGGCATAGCTAGGGGTCATATTCACCCCCACCGTATGGGAGGGAAACGGGACAAACACAGCTTAATGGCAAAATACCCGTCAATGTGCTTCACGGAATAATATCTTTTCACGGTTAAAAGGAGAAAAAAAATAAAATCTATACTTAAAGGGATCCGGTAACTTTGTCTCAGATTCTGAAACAAAATCATGGATTTAGCTCATGTTGCAATGATAAGTATAAACCTTTAGGTCAGTCAGGAACCCCATGACTTTTACAAGCATATCGCATGTCTGATTACCAAGATATCTATGATAGGAAATCGAAACCATATTTTGCGTTTTCCTAACGGTTTTTATAACAATATAGTCTACTGGGGGAGAACGAGTATGGTAAAAACCGGTCACTCAAAGATTTTTACTTTTTTGAGGTACTTCTTGATCGTTTTGAAGTGCAATTTTGTTTAGGGCTTTAATATTACACCATATCACAATCATTGATACCACGTAGGGCCGTGCAGCTCAGATTTAACATTGTTAAACGATGCCTTTAAATATAGACCTGCCCTTTAAAAAAAAAAAATCTATTTACATAAACATTAAATTTGAAATAATATTCCAATGTATTACTGTAATTTACCGATTGTTTTAATTTGTTAAAATCACTCAATTATTCACTGTTCCAATCTATTACAATCATTTTAATAGACGGCCCTGATAACAAACAATTCAACACACGATCCGTTAAAGAACTAAGAATATCTGAGAGGAAATATTATTGCATGTACATATTTTATATATCTTTATATTTTACTAATCTTTAAAGAATATTCAATTATTTCATGTTATCTTTGATTGCATATGTAGTGTTGTATTTTAATGTTTGTATCAAATGTAAACAAATCACAAAAATTCAGCCCTCGGGCTTCGAGATGATTTTGAATAAAACAAACAATTAATAATATATAGTAAAAGTAAATTAACAAAAACCGACACAAAACAGTCAAAAGGTAGACAATAACAGAGAAAAGATTTTCCACAGGGACATCTATTCCGATTAAAAGGAAGCAAGACTTACAAGGATATATAGGCTTTGAAAAAAGGGAGGCAAATCTAACTCGTATTAGTACGTTACATTCAACATGGGACTCTAATAAGATTATGATACTTATAGGAATAAGGTTAAGAGTTAGGTCCCTTTGCGAGACAGGGCCAACTGGAGAAACGACCAAATCAAAGGGAACTATGACCTGTGGGATATAGAACCAGCTGAATTTACTGAGAGCATATCAACAGAATACACCACTGCACATTTCTATTCAAAAATCCCAAACGCTCTTTTGTAACTTCGGACATTATCAACAGTCCTCCTTCCGCACATAATTGTATAATGTTTTATAATGTTTGAGGAAATTAAGTATTTATGGCAGTTTATCATTTTGTTTTTAAAAATAACAATTTATATACATGTACATTATATGTATTTGCTTATTAACGATTCTTTGTCAGAAAAATACTTATTGTACTTTATATTATTATTTTTATCGAAAAATTGTATACTTACATGAATGCAGAAGAAAATCAAATCAAATCAAATAAAAATCGTTTACTAGGAGCAAACGACTCATATTCAGAGGAAGATCCCTCAAGTTTGAAGAAGCTTCTAACAACATATCGAAAAACGAGATATATATACATGTATGCTAATTCCTATCGCTGCAGTTGTGGCTTGTACGACCTCTCCTGATAAGTGATTGGTCGATTTCGTTTCCCTTCCAGAAGATCCAAGAGGCCTTTAATGTTTGATTGTTTGTGAAGTTCATGTCAAGACTTCCACACTGCACTTCCTGAGGAAAAGAAACCCACTCCCTTGTGAGGCGATGACGAATGACACCAACCCACTTCTTAACTCTCTACATCCATTCGTGATAGTGGCGAATTTAGGGAGAAAGGGAAGGGGTGGTAAAGAGTTCTGCATGGTACGCTCACTCAATGATATTAAATCCACGAGAAAATACTCCACAATTCATTCCCTTTTGTTTTCTTCTTGCTTGTGTGTGTTTGTGTGTGTGTGTGTGCGTGTGTGCGTGCGTGTGTTCGTGTGTGTGGGCGTGGTCGCGCGCGTGTGTGTTTGTGTTGTGATTATGGTTAGTTGGATAGTAGGTTTTTTGATTGGTTGTCTCTTGTTTCTTTCGTATTTGTTTTGTCTTTTTCTGCCTTTTTTAGCAGGGCCGCATCTCACTATTCATCTGTAAATATTGTACATTTATTTGCCAATATTGATGAACATGGTAAGGTCACAACTAACATCGTTTATAGTGCGTGACACTGAGTGAATATGAGATATCAGCGTCACGGAAAGGCTTGTCAGAAAATCTCCATGTCTTAAAGATTTTAGATGGAAGAGATATCAAAATTTCGTTATTAAATGGACCGTATGAAGACCATTAATCCTAACGCCAGTAATTTGATGCAATAGTAGCACAGTTCATTATGCATTCACTTACAGTACAATGTCATTCTAATATGATGCGTCAAAGACTGCATCGGTCATTGACCTTTCCGTACGTCTGCAAATTGACACATCGTGTACACCTACAGTATAGTGTAACAGCCAATTTTGTGTAATAACATCGCTAGTATCGTTACGGTAGGCCTACTTTCTAATATTACAAGGTGTCATCAACTCCTTGGTTATGATCGACCTACGTACATGACACAGTGTTTCTTAAAGTGACTCGATCGGTATTAAACATTGTTGAAGGTTGATTATAACTGCGTAATGTTTGTATGAAATGTGAGTTATTATTTTCCTTCTACTGTACTAACCCTCTAACATGCAAAATATCCTGAAAAAAATTATCAAACCACAAAGATATGTATGTATTTCTTTGAAAGCGTCACTGTGCAACACCCTCTAACTGTAAAGTATCACAACCATTTTTGAATTTTCCAAACCGTTTTTCCATGAAAATAAGACAGGCTTTTAAAAATCTCTCAACACTTAAATGTCTGAAATGGTATATAGAGCTAATTCATTGCTTTGTGACGATTTACATTCACCTAAAGTGTAATTATATTGTAATAATATAGGTGGGAGAATTAAAGAATCGATCAGATCAGTTTTCCCCAATTGCTATCTTTAAAAATGAATGGTCTGCTTTCACTCAAACTTTCAGATAATCTTTAATTGTACATCTAGCATTGAAAAGCAATGTTACCAAGTCCCTTCAAAGCAAATCGTGAGCTTTGGTATAGGCATCGTGTGTCGAGAGAACATGGCTATAATTCATTCTGATTGTTTAGCCTGCAGTAGATTGATTGTTTGAACAATTAACATAAAAACAACCTCACACAAATTGGTCGGAAATCATCTTCAATAAAAAAAAATATTAAAAAAAAACACAACTATCATTTGCACATAGGAACCTGTGATAAGAACATGGTGTTGGGCTACTTACCTCGATTTCCTTATATTTATATGCTCATTACTCAGCCCCTATATATCTTCTACCAAGATCGTATGGCAGATGTCATTTATTTATTGTTTTGAACATTCAGTGTAAATTTTGTTGGATTCTGTGAGACTTTATTTTCTATCATTACCAGAACTCAAGCTTGTCTTTAAGTTTCGGCATCAATGCTTGGTTGCTAGGCGCAAGTTCGCGAAAGATTTGAGGGGACATGTGTCAACGCAAGATACGATCTCGGTCGTCTTCATGCACGGATGCCATTCTTCGAGTTCAGAGGCTTTGATACTAGCTGTAGTGGATTGGGAATCGAAACGACTTCCCACCCGAAACCCCACGCCAACTCGAGACTTATCTCAATCTTTGCCCCGGTGAAACCGTTTTATGAGGTAACAGTTTTATTCCTCTACAGTTCCTGGGGGATAAATGCAGCTGACGGGGAGAATTTTATCAGTTTTGCGTTGCAATATCCAGTGGTTTTACCCGGGGAAAGTCGGATCGTTGCGTAGTAATATTTCCCTTGGAATAGTCGCATGAGATGAACGTTGTGAATGAATGAACTTAATGATGATGATAACAATTTTGGTAATAATTATGATGACAATTGTAATAATAATAATAAGAATAATAGTAATAATAATAATAATAATAACAACAATAATGATAATAATAATAATAATAATAATAATAATAATAATAATAATAACTATAACAACAATAAAAACTAAAGTATCTTGTTATCTTATGTTCGATAATTTCACTTCTGTTCTCTTGTTTTACTTGCATCAATATTGTAAAGCGCTTTGATATAAATCTCTCATGAAAAGCGCTATATATTAAGTAGAAGTTATAATTATCTTAATAATAACAATAATGATGATTTGCCCTTTTTTATAGCGCACATCGCATTATGATATAACATCTATGCATGGTTTTTGCTCAAGCAACCGTAGCGGCCAGTGGATTAAGGAAATAAATCCTACTAGGTATCCACTAATCACCTTGATCGAGTGTTCCAAATGCAGATTAAGGTCTTGCCAAATGACGTTAGTGATTAGGCAGGGATTCGAACCCACACCTCATAATAAGGGATTACTTCGTTTTAGAGTTTATTCCACTTGAAATTAAAGTGGAATCCACACAAAGTAGTAGTTTAAAATACTCTTTTGAGAGTGTATTCCTATATTTTAAACGTGGTTTCCACATTTAAAAAAGTGATTCTTAATATGAAAAAAGTACAACAAGAAAGATGATTCGTTGATTTTTTTTTGTTTTATTAACGGAGGGATTGTCTTTAGGTTGCAAGTTTGCAACAACGGAATAGGAAACAATACAACTTTCTATAATTACCTCAACGTGAAATTAATTCGGAAGATCAACATATTTTCTCTGACTAATTATCCTAATTAATTATGACAAGAAACTAGATTTGATATTTTCAACAACCATTTTTATTTGCCTTATATTCAAACCTTGGATGGGTGAATATCACATGAAAATCACGATGTAAT